TTGTCTTGGAGATGATGTTGTACTCATGCTGGTTCATTTGACTCAATTGGGCATTGGTTGTTGGCGTATCTTGCTTCACTGGTCCAATTCGCTGAATTGAGTGTTGAGCCTCCATGAGCTCTGTACGAAGCTTGCTGACTTCCAGTTCCAGATTCGTGATTCGCTCAAGATAGATTCCTTCATGGAGTTGTTGTTCTGCTTTCCAGTTGGATAGCTCCTCTGCCATGTGTGCTTGCACTTGTTCTAGGACCACCTGGTACACTTCCTGTTGCTGTGTTTGGGCTGCTTCTAGGGCCCCCACTAACACCTGGGCGTGCTTGCTTGCGTCTAGTAGGGAAGCCTGATGCTTTGGCCTACCAATAAATGACTTTTGTAGAACCCTTCGTTGTCTGATTCCACTTCTAGCCTCGCTGGCCCGGCTGGGGGTCCTGCTGGAACCCCCAGGTTGCCAGCGCTCCTGGTCTTCATTTTCATCTATGCTCATAACCTCCACACTGCTATCACTGAGCATGGGCTGTATCGCATTCCTGGATCGCCGGTGGGTTGGTGTTGGGGTGCCTGGCATGTCTGGCGTTCCCGTGAGCTGGGAGGCCACGTTGCCCACTCCGGGGGGCAACGCGTGCGATATACCACCACCACGGGGTCTCTGTGCCTCCATGGTGGTTTATAGGTGCCAGAGGGCCCCTATCGGTTGATTAACGCGTGAAAATTACGTGTTTTTCGTGGGTGCTGATTTTTGCTTTTGATTGGCACATTCTCTTCGCCTGTATGGATAGGATTTGATTTGGATTAGGGAGAAGTCAAAGCCGAAGGTTGGGAGGGATAGGCTGTTCTCGCTTGTGTCAGAGGAAGTTGGTTATTTAGCTGAGGATAGACATTTCACAGTTATGTCGTTTTTTTTTTGTACCTCCATGAAGAAGGAAATCATAGACTTCTTAGTTTTCTCATTATTGTACAGCCTCCATGGCTCAGGATTCATATTCTGCCATCACGCAAAACCGGGGAACGATTCTCTTCAGCGGTACTATAAAACCAAAGCCATGTCTGATGTAGATCAGATAATTTGAATCGAGCAGGAAGTAATTGATCACTCGAATACGGCTGATTGTTTAATGAGGAACCCACTGCCCGTGACCTTTGTATCGCTAGATACTCGGCCTGGTTTGTCTCGATCATCCGAATGACTACTCCGTAATGTAATGCAACTTATGTAATCTATTGCCAATTGTGAGAACTGGTGGCAGTTTGCTGTACATAGTTTTGAATCTCCGTCGGTCCATAGATCTGTGAAGCGGTATTCATCCGAAAATTGAGTACCGCCTTGATATAATTTCTCTCCCTCCCTATTCCACTGAGTCCAGATGATTGAATCGTGGTAGATCATCATCCATTCCGGTGCCGCTGGATACATTTATGGAGACGATACTTGAGAAGGATCCAATGAGCCGTCAGTCAGAGATCCAGGAAATAAACACGCCCAGAGTACATACATAGTGCGTCTGCTGGGCTACCGGTGGATACCGGCTTAAAAGCCCTGCACTTACAGGCAGTTCTGATCTGCCCGTCGTATGTCCCATGAAACTGGCAATTTTCGGGGCAACGATGTCGATTGTCCGGATAACCGTACGAGGCTTATATGGCCCGGAATGGCTTCCACCAAACTACAAGCCTAAGACCCTTGAAGGACCTGCAGTTATTAAATGGTACTGGCGAAGGCTAGTTACCCCATCCACATCATGCTGTGTGTTAAAGGCTTCTTAGTATTAACTAACGGCCTACAGATATTGTACTTATTCGAACTAAGACTACGTGGAGTATCTATTATTAGAAGATCCAGCAATTTATATGAACTTCGTTAACTGGATGTAGAGGACCTCACGGGTAAAAAGGGTCCAGACATATAATGAACATTAGCGACAAGGAGATGAACCCGCGTGTTGGTTATACTCGCACCCTTCTTTGCAGTATCTGCGCCGCTGAAAGATACTTGGTGGGTTGGCCAAGCTGCACGGAGACAGCTTCCCGCAATTTAAAATGACATGCATTCGGCTATGCGCTACTATAATGCGGACTGATGCAGTTACCTGGACACAGGTCTTGTTGTCTAGCTCTGATTGCTGTAGGCCGGTTGCTGCCTAAGCTCGATATGCATAAGTCCTACTGATTTTCAATCCACCTTTACTATAAAGACATTGTCGTCTCTACCGCCACTACTATGTACTAATCGACACGCTCATAGTGGAACACCGTGGTATACACATCCAGGCCCACGCTAGGTGACGTCCATCCAAAGTGGCGCTCCTCGAGAGCTAACTTCCACCCACGGGGAATCCCAAAGTCGTGAATTTCGCGGATATGGTTGGTGCTAATCAAGAAAGATGCGGGAGGCTTCAACTCGCGAACCCGCGTATTTAACTCATCGGGAATTTCGTCAACGCCAATGGTGACCGACTTCAAAGCCAATTGGAAACATCGAGAGAGAACAAGGGAGAGTTCAAACATGTTGACGAAGTGGATGGCCTGGTAGCAGACGATATGGTCAAATTGCCCCGAGATTCTGGGGAGGACTTCTTGCATCGGTCCGACGAGGCATTCATCGTAGCCGGCTTGTTCACAGGCACGTGCCATTTCGGGTGAAATGTCGACGCCGACATGGTGGCTACGTACGCCATTCCCGGTTCCATCCACTGCGCTGTGTTCATGATGCTCCCGAATCAATCGACCAACGATACCCGTTCCACAAGCGAGATCAAGGAGACTACCGCTGAAATCCAACCGGGAGACAAGGCTGGAAAAGACCTTTTTCACCGTGCTTTTTAGTAAATAAGCCGAATCATATTTAGCAGCGATCTGGTCGTATTCGGCAGCGATGCCTCGCGCCCGATCCTTCTCGTCGTTCTTTTGCATGAAATACGAAGCCAGAAGGATATGTAATAAGGCGCGATGACCGCCGGGGAGACTCTCGGAGATGACGGGATCCTCGAATTGAATGTTGGGAGGAAGGAATATGGCCGGCATAGGGTTGACCTCGATCACAACGGGCTCACCATTCGGTTGGATTCGAATGTCGACATTCCCCCAGGATCCACCAATGCTCCCATTGACCGTGTATGCCTCGACAGCCAATTTTTGTAATTTGTCAAAGAGGACGGGGTCGTCATTTCGGTTGATGAGATGCTCGGACAGTTGAGGGGAGAATTTAATATCGAAGGTGAGGAAGCGGTTAGGGTTGCTCGAGTCCGTGGGAGGATAGTTGTAAATCGTCGGGTTGAGTGCGATAGGAGTATCTCCGAACTCAATTATGACGATCGAATAGTCGACTCCCTGAACAAACTGCTGGACAATAATATCACTAGGCAGATTGTCAATCGAAGGAGGGGTCGCAGACAGCGGGCTATTCCTGGCGCGGCTGCGTTCACGACCCGGTTGTAGCTGAGTATCAATAGCAGCAATTTCCGCATCTCTCTCCTCGGGCATAAAACAGATGGACTTAGAGGTGAGGAACATGCTTGCACAATTTCGAGCGGCCTTGACAATCACCGGGAAGGAATTCGCATCATTCCCCGGAACAGGAGGATGCCCATGAGCCCGAGCAGCCTCATAAAGATCCGTCTTTGACTTGAGCAACATGCGACTGGGTATGCCGACGAAAGGGACATTGAGAGATTCGAGATACTCGACTGCATCTGCTCCGGCGACATCATCCTCGGGCGTTCCCCACATGAAGCTGATGTAGAAGTCGAAATCCTCCGCTACGGCCGCGTCAATCTGGGCTTTGGCATCGGATTTGTCAATCATACGGTGTTCATAGGTGTGATCTTTGATGAAGCGAGAGGGATCGGGATAGTCATCGTGGTCTTTGAGGATGTTCTCATCCGTGTATTTGGATTGAAGAAGACAGAAACGCATGGTGAAACGTAGAATAAGACAGTACGGGTATTCAATGGGCTCCAGTATCACAGTAAACAATGGTGAAGGACGGGCGTTTATATACCTTACTACTGTGCAACCACACAAGTTCAGCTGGTCTATATCGATAGCAACCCCGCTGGTCAACAAAAGGCGACAAGGGAGGTCTCCGCATAGGTGATGAAGATCGGATTAATATCGAGCCAATCTAGTGGGCTCCGGGGAGGTTTTATCGTACGGCGATGAAGCTCTCAGTTAGTTCCAGCAAGCACTCTACAGAAGACTCAATACCACGTACATTCTCTACTGCGCGATACTGTCGCTATAGTTCTCGGCGGTCATAAGCATCGTACTGTTATCTGGAGAATCGGCACCGGAACCAGGGACCAGGGTTTTTCTGCTTCTGGGTTCCAAGGATGCGTGGAAAGACCCGAGCCTCTGACGTAGACCTCGCCCTCACCCGCGGGTGATCAAGCAAGAAAAACAGTACTATATTAGGATGGATTATAATTTTTATGCATACAGATTAGGCTATCTACAGGTTCATAGACAAGACGCAGCTCTTCGAGCTGCGATAGGATCGGCTTCAGCAGTGAGAGATATCTCCTGTGGGTCACGTGCATAGATCGCAGGCTAGCACTGTGACAGAGGGTCTGCGAGGGTCACCTAGACAAGGTTCAGCGAGGTTTGAGGATCGGGTGAGGGTCACAGGCATTGAACCTGACCCTATGAGGGTTTGGGCGAGGTCTACTCTGATGTAAAATAGAAACACGAACACACACACACAATACTACTACTACTACTACTACTACTACTACTACTACTACTACTACTACTACTACTACTATTACTAGTCAGGGTGAGGTGACCTATAGCCTACTTCCACGGCCATTGCTACAATATTGGTACTAGGATAGCTAGAGCGGAAAGTGGCCGGGGAGAACCAGTATGGGAGCTTATGTATCAAAAGGAGTGGATCTGGGCGACAGTGGGTAAGGTGGGAGACATTGCTATTAAGCAGTGTGGAGAGACTATTGTCCATTCTGTTTGACTGTTCGATTGATTAGTTTTGCATTGCTTAAACGTTCTATGTTTGTTTGAATGCCTGTTTAAATAGCTCTGGGTGAAGATTGCCTAGCATCCCTACTTGTAAGACAGGCAACCACAACATACCAAGATGGCGGTGGCAAGAAACCGGTCATAGTTCACTGGGTCCCATTTTTCTCTTCACACCAAGCGTCTTTTAGCCAGCGGGTAGATCGTCAGTTCAGCTGAAAGCAAATCAGGCACATATAAATATTCCAGAATCAACCGAAAATCCTTGCGCAGGTTACAAAGTACTGATTTTTCTGCTATTCAATTCCCACCATGGTGTCTATTCAACAGCTCGTTCGTGGTCTCACAGCCCTTATCCTTCTGCAACCCGGCCTCGCAGCCAACGCCGACAATAGCATTCATTGGGCACCGGAAGCAAGGCCCCAGTGTCCACCTTGGACGATCGCGCCTGCCTGGATGTCTTCAATGCCACAATGCACGTCCCTCCAAATGCCACTTCCGGAGACACGGCCCTTCCGGTAACCCATAGAAATGGCATTCTGTACACGACCAAGGACAAGGACCCGACTCATTTGACTATAAAGAGACTCGAGAATGGACGCTATACTAATTTATAATGTGCATCCCTCAGGCACCAAGCAGTATTGGACCTCCGGTTACGACGATGTAATCGGGCTCACCCCTTATGAATATAGCGCCAAAGAATTGTCTTTCGCCCAGGTCGAAGAGTCCAACTCGCCATTCTCCAAGGTCACTCTGTTCTGGGACGCGAAGTGCTTGGTGGCCCCGAATAGCCCTGCGGATCCCGTGAAAATGTTGGAACTGACGGCTTGCGACCCCGTTATCCTGGAGGTTACCGACCCTGCGGATTGGAAAACACCTGATGATGTTTGCGAAAAGAAGCCAAGCGTGAATTATAATGGTAATTACACCCCTCGTTCCCTTTTCGAGCACATCTCTCATTAACCCGGGGTCCCCCTCTCTTCCGTTGGTTTATATTCATGTGCTGGAGTGATTCAATCTGACTGACACAATTCTTCAGGTTGCAACAGCTACGAAGTCTGTAGCACTTGTGTGTTGGAATGGCGGTACTGCATGGGCAGTGGTAATGCTACAACATGTACATGTGTGACCCCGCTCATTGGACAGAGTGGCTAGGAAGCAAGTTGCAAGTGAACAATCATGCTAGCATGTTAGTTTGTTGAGGCAATAATAAGTGAGCCATGCGTTAACATACCTTCGCATGCAGGCGGTTTGGGGCGAGGAAAAGGATCAGAAGATGGTAGAAGGTGGTTTGCCTCAGGAACCCACAGGGACAAGAGGCCGCAGGCCTCGGGGTAATGCTGAACAGTCTGTCGTAGCTTTAATGCTCGGTATAGACAATAAATTTGATTAAATGATAATACCAATGGATACCGGTTTATGTCAATTGATCAATGGACTTGTCTGGCATAATGCACAACAAGCGGTTCTTTGAATTTTAATCAACATACCACTAGTATGTATGTATCTTTCTATTTTTCGTCGAGGTTCGGGGCTTTCCACGCATCCTTGGAAACTCAGAAATAGCAACTCCATGGTCCCAGTACGGGACATATGACGAGTATATCGGAACTGCCTGTCGTCTAGTTAAACTATCATCTATCATCTAAGTACAGGTAGCCCCTCGCGCGGAGGGCTGCTTGGGTTTTCACGGCCGTCCAGCAGCAAATTGAGCTTTTGGTTTTGGAAGAAGAGCAAAAGGGAAATGGAGTAAACAAATGGGATGAAATAACAGGGGAAGAAAAGGAACAGAACCGTGACGGCTCAACGGGCTCAACGGCTCAGCACCCCCTCGGTGACTGATATCGACAAACTATGTGTTGAAATCGGTATGAATCGCGCTAGAACCCTCCCCTATCACAACTGATTTGCAGCATACAAAAGTTCATATTGAATTCAACAACTTCCACACAGCCATTGGCAGAGCATCAGTCATATCCCTCTGTGACCCTGTCAGAGACCCAGTCACCTCGGGGTCATTCAGAATCGAAGACATAGGATCATTTCCAGCAACCACTGTTCCAGATGCAGACATGTCCACACAGACCACAATCCCACCCACAGGAACCATGCAAAGTGCAACTCAGTATGCAGCAGCAGATAATGCAACTACTATCACCCACATGTGCTCCCTTCCTATCTGCCGTGTTGTGAACGATTTTGAGTAGATCATGGACCTTGGTTTCGTCGATGAATGCTTCACAGCCAGGATGGAGGCAGACTTTCTCCTTTTCCTCGCCTGTATTTACGCTGGTGACCCGAAGGTCCATGGCTTTGGTGATTTGAACGCCCATATGGTCGACTCTTCTGCCTGGGCCAATTATGACTGCCCATCAGTATACGCGGAGGCCTGGTTCTTGGAGCTTTTGACATGTCAGTAAATGATACCTTTTTTGGACTGAAAAGAGCCACTCACAGCTCTTGACATGGTTGATTCGCTACACATGACAGGACCAGCAGATGAATCATCAATCCCAGCCGGTCTCGCCGTCTCACCTCACTCGCTTAGAATCATGTCGGTTCCGCAAGAGATTGCCTTATGATTATGCATAGATTAAACAATTCTTCCACCCTAAAAAGGTTCTTACTTATTTTCGGGATTGTTAACTCAATATTCAACCCAATTGGATCCGATCCGGTCCCGAATTCTTCGCCGATTCGGCTTATTACTCTATAACTAGCTACTATACTACTTATAAAGAAAGGCTCTCTTCACATTATCCCCTGGCTGTATTACAGAGAGCCATGATCCTAGCTTCCCTCGTAGACGTCAAGTAAAATGGGGAGGACCCCAGCTGGTGACATCACGTGGCGTAGTGTGATAATACCCGGTACCTTGTCCTCGCATCTCTTACGCAAGCCACGACATGCTCGGTAGGCCTCCAGAGTCTCGGTTGGCAAACTCCCACAACAATGTCCGACACTCCCGAGGAAGAAATCATGCAGCGCCGTCCAGCTTCTGGGTTTCGCACATCTTAGCATACATGCCCCCCTTCGCAACCAGCTCGCCGTGCGTCCCGGCCTCCACAATATTGCCTGCGTCGAATACGAATATGCAGTTAGCGTCGCGGACTGTCGAGAGGCGGTGCGCCACCGCGATGGTTATCCGGTCCCCGGACGACGCCGCCTCCGACAGCGCACACTGGACGAGCTTTTCCGACTCGGTGTCCAACGCGCTCGTCGCCTCGTCAAGTAGGATGACATTGGGCTTGCGTACCAGCGCCCGGGCAATGGCGACACGCTGCCGCTGTCCCCCTGAAAGCTGGCTGCCGCTCGTCCCGCACGGCGTGTCGAGGCCCCCGGGCAACGATGACACGAAGTCCCACACGTTGGCTGCCCGGCACGCCTCCTCTAGCGCCTCGTCCGGCGCCACCTTCGTCATACCGAGGTCCGGCACGCCCTGTGAGATGTTCTCGCGAATTGTTCCCGGGAAGAGCGCCGGTTCTTGCTGCACTAGGGCCACTTGCTTGCGGTACAGAAGCGGGTTAATGGACGACAGGGGCACAGACGAGTCGATAGTAATGGCACCGCTTGTCGGGTCGTAGAAGCGCTCGAGGAGTGATATCATGGTGCTCTTTCCGCAGCCTGAGGCGCCCACGAAGGCCACAAAGTCACCTCGTTGAATCTAAAAAGGATTAGTGTCGGTGAACATGGTTCAATCCCGAACCTGTCTCGTAGGTACTTACCGATAGAGACACGCCCTTGAGAACACGGTTGTCCGGCGCCAGGGGGTACGAGAACTGCACGTCTTGGAAGTCGTAGGAGCAGCACCCGTGCTCGGGTCCCTCTTTGCGGTTGTTGTCAGTCTCACGGATGGTTCCGTCAAGCCCGTCGAGCCAGAAGTAATAGTTGGCGGCTTGATTCGCCTTGGTGAAGCCTGAAAACTGTCAGTAGCTCGATCCCAGTGCGCTAGGAGCCTCTCCTGGACTCACTGCTGGTGAAACTGAAAGCCAACGCAGTGGCTTGGCCGGAGAAGTAAACACCCATAAACGACACGATGAACTGATAGAAGCTGATTTCCCCGTCATTTATCAGCTTCGATCCCCACCTATTCGCACAATCAATCAGCCGAGTTGCTTCACATGACTTCGCAAAACCAGGAAGCGAGGACTCACCAGAACCCCAAGGCCAGCACGAAGTACTCAGCGGACTGCGTGAGAGAGAACCAGGTCATCATGTGGAACATGGGCCCGCTTGTCTGAGAGATCGCGAGGTCGAGCTCGTCGACGTACTTCCTGAGCACGGTGCTCTCGATGGCGAGCGAAGAGACGGTGCGTATCGCCATGACCGTCTCCGAAGCTACCGAAGCGCTCGCCGACAGCCTCTGGCCTAATTCGTCGTCCATCTTGGTCTCGAGCCTGACGCGCGCGTAGCCACCTAGCATCATGGTCGGCAGGCCGACGAAGACGCCGACCAGCCCGAGCTTCCAGGACACAACGATCGCGAGGATGCACGACGCGATGATGCTGATCACGGACATGAGGATGATGGCGACAGTGAACCCCATCAACTCCAGGATGGCCTGCGGGTAGGAATCGAGCCGGCTGATGAGCGCGCCCACCGTGTTCTCGGGCCGGTCGAAGAAACGGAGGTCCTGCCGGAGGAAGGACTCCAAGATTTCCCGTCGCATCTTCCTGCTGAGACCCTAAGGCGCGGTACGCTCGGGTCAGTATCGTGATGCAAGACTGAGAACGAGATTTTCCTTCCAGTGCCAAAGAAATGGAAGCTCTCACCTGTGCGATAGTATTGGTCGACCAGCCCATGACGAAGTACATGACGAGAATGCCGAGCGACATGATGAAGAACATTAACGAGATGAAGTTGCCGCGAGCGACAATGTTTGGAGAAGTAAAGATGCTCATGATATTTCCTAGCAAGAGGGCTTGCCCAGGGTTGATGGCGGCTACGAGTGACATTGTGGTGAGCAAGTGTAACAGCAGTGCCATACTCTCCAAGGCTGGGGCTGGGGAGTCTTTCTCATTCGAGACCACTCACCTCCTCCGACGCACATGGCTGTTGTAACCGCAAACCAAAGCCAGATATCGGGCGTCCCTCTCAGAAGCTTCCAAATACTGCAGATAATGCCTGTTTTCTCGTACAAGTCGTGGTCTTCCCGGTCCTTTAATGCCGCTAATTGTTGCGCCTCAGCCGTCCGGATCTTGGCAAGAGACTGAACGCAATCGACATGATAGTTTCCCTTTTCCGAAACCTCATCAGACATGCTTGTGCTTCCTGAGCCATGGTTCTCCTCAATGTTAGCCGGCGCAAGGTCCTGGGCCTTGACGAGAGTAGCGTAAATGCCGTCCCTGGACACCAGCTCTTCGTGACGCCCCTGTTCCATGATCTTGCCCTTAGACATGACCACAATGTTATCCGCGTTGCGGATGGTCGCGAGCTTGTGCGCTATAATGATTGTCGTCCGGTTCTCGGAGGCGCTGTCGAGGGCCTTCTGGACGATTCCCTCGGCATGCGGGTCGAGCGCGCTGGTTGCTTCGTCGAGGAGTAGGACTTTGGGCTCCGAAATGACGCTGCGGGCGATTGCGATCCGCTGCTTCTGTCCACCCGAGAGCAGGCCGCCTCTCTCACCGATGCGAGTGTAGTATCCTTGCGGCAGGCTCTGGATGAAGTCGTGCGCGAAGGCGAGCTTCGCGGCCTCTTGGACGCGCTGCATTTGGTCTTTTTGCGATACTGCCTCCCATTGGGTGCCAACGAGACCGTTGGCGATGTTCTCGAACACGCTGCCGTTGAAGAGCACCGGCTCCTGGACTAGTTAGGGAGTGTCTTGCGAGTCTGCGGTACGCACTTTGGGTGTCTTGCCTGTTGAACTAGACGGAGGTTGGTCCGCAGCCACCTGAGGTTAAGCTGACTGATTTCCTTGCCATCCAAGGAGATGCTGCCTGCACGAGGATTATACCACCGTTCGAGCAGGCCGATGATCGTGCTTTTTCCTGAGCCGGACGGTCCCTTTTTTTTCTCCCGCTTAACTAGAGGCTTCTATGACAGATACGATCGGAAACTACTCACCACCAATGCCGTGACCTTGCCTGCAGGAATATTTAAGGTAAAGTCCTCTAAGACTTTGACATCTGGACGCGTAGGATAGCTGAAGTTAATACCGTGCAGGCCGATGAAGCCGGCAGTTTCGTCAGGTTTGTCTCCCGATTCGTCGAAGGGATTGATCTCGGATTGCCTATCGATGAGAACGAACAGCTCCGAAGCTGCGGTAGCCGCGCGGCTGAAGGTGACCATATGCGGTGCTACTTGCATGACTGTACTCGCAGCCATGATGACGGAGAAGAGAACACTGGCGTCTTAGTTAGTCTCAGGGTCTCTATAATGAAATGGCAGTCTAGCTGCTGACTCTCGAGAGGATGAATACTGACACAAAAACAGTTCCCAGGTCGGAGATCTCGCCGCGGTCGAGCATGGCGATGCCCTGCCAGAAGGCCAGGCCCATGCCGGCGTAGACGACGAAATACTGCCCTCCGAACACGATGCCGTAAAGCTTATTCTTTTTCATTCCCTGGGTGTACGCATCCTGGAGGTAAGAGTCGTACTTGGCCATCACCCTCGGTTGAAGACTGAAGGCCTGAAGGGTCCGGATCCCTCCGAGGACGTTCTCGGCATAGCTACCGGCTTGGGCGTAGATCTGCAAGATCTTGGTTTCAATCATGGCATCGATGCCGCCGGCCGTGCCGAGCACAATGAGCAGAGTTGGCACCATGAAGATGAGGATTAAAGTCAGCTTCCATTGTGTGACGAACGCGATCACGAATGCCGCTACGAAGGTAGAAATGGCTTGGACGACGATGCCGAGTTTCTCTGCGATGCCGGATTGGATGAGCTTGCCGTTCGTGGTCGCCTGCTGAGATATGGAGCCGGAGGCGTCCCGGTCATAGTAGGTAATTTCTTGGCTGAAGGCAGCCCGTAGATAACTTCGTCGGATGTTGCGGGTCAAGTAGTACGCGACATAGGTAAAGAGAGAGGCGTAGACGTAGGTAGCCACAAGACGGGCGACACCTATGCAAACAAAGTAGAGACTTTGGTCGCATTAGCATACAACCATTTTCATCGTCTAAGAACAAAGCAAAGGGGGATAATGCGCTTACGCCGACGTTTGCACGGCAGACATGAAATTGCCAGGCATCGAGTTCGCGTCAGAGAAGTTGAAGTTGCTAAGCAGCGTCAAGAACTGTCCCATGACCAGGTTTACCATAGCGAGAGCAACGCCAGACGCGACAGCAGCTACGAAAGCAATGCATTCCAGGACGTAGAGTTTAGTATCGCCGAAGGTGAAAATTCTCTGCAGGATAGATAATCCCAGCTCGTCAGCCATTACTCTTACAGATGAGAATGCAGCCATTACCTCTCCGGCTAGACTTACCAGGAAACCATTCGTGCCTTTCTTCTTCTCGGCGGACTCTTCATTTTCTTTCTCGGGTCCGATAGGGATTTGAGCATCGTTGGCTACTCCGGCAGCTTTCTCGGCCTCTCGACGGTCCAAAGGAGCCGCCATCTTGTTTGCCGCGTGTTGGGGTGTAGAAAGGAAGAAAGGAGTGGACGAATGACACAAGACGTCGATCTTGCACAATCTGATGAAAGAAGGCGATTAGGAAAGGGGAATGGAATATATAGAAAATGAGAAAAAAGAGGAAGCACTTTAGGGTTCAATGGAAGACGTCTCCAAATCTTTGCCTTGACAGAACCCGCGTTTCACCTTTGCTTTATAATGTTCAGAAGCTTGGATGCTACCACGTCCGGTCCCAACAACCTGGGTATCATGATGTTGGCCTTCTATTAGGGTACATCAGTACATCAGAGGGTGTCGATGCGGAGGGCGGAGCCTCCGAGCCCCCGAAGCTCCGAGCCCAGCGCCAAGCCTCGCCGACGCTACGGCGCCCGTGACGAAGTGACTCGGAGGCCGCGTGCGCTGGGGCTCCGAGACCTTCTAAAGCCCGTAATAACGCCGCCACCTCTTCGGAACCCAACCTTCTATCTAGGCTCCGATGCCTCTGTCTATACTAACACAAGTTCCTGGCCTTGCATGCCTCGCTCGCTCGTGAGGCCTTCGGAGGACGAGGAGAACCAATTGACGTCGACCAAAACACGACGTGCGGCAGCACCTCGGCGGGTTCTACCACCCGCTCACTCACTTTCGATGGAAGAAGAACCGGATGTCTCGTTCTCGCGGGCCGAGGAAGACGAAGAACAGAATCCTGCTACGACCGAGAAGTTAGCAGTGAGTTTACTGTTGTACCTACCTTATATGAGATCATATCATGTGGCTGATCAGCTTCTTCGAAAATAGTGTCATCGATGCCGCCAGCGCAAGGTGAAGACAAGACATCCATCCCTCGGGAACCTACATGGATATCAGCGTCTGATTTCTCGTCCAGGTGAGATGCGATCGGGTGAGCCCGTGTTCTCACTGTGTCAAAGCTGGGACACAATGCTCATACGCAACCGGCCCGAAGCCTAGAGAAAGGCGGCAGAGGGTCATGGTCTCAAGCGCATAGTAAGTAACTACAAGATAACTGACCGCCTACCAAACCCTAGTGAGGCGGAATATCATGCTGATATTTATCAAGTGATTCCAAATTGGATTCAATATCGAGGAAAATCGACGAGCTCAGCCAGAGGATGAGCCAGTTGAGTCATGGGCCGAACAAGAGTAGAACCTCTAAAACCCTCAACTTTGCAGATCCCATCAACATCAACGAGGAGCGCTGCACGTCCTCGTTCGGACTAACACCATCTTCTTCCTCACTCGGTTCTACGCCAAACCAAGGGACCCTGCCGTATAATTCCACCGGCGAGGGCGTCCGTGAAGTGCACTACAACTCTTCCAAAGTGGAGTACGAGGGCGAATCGTCACTTTTCGCTCACGCCGTCTTCGCTAGTCGATTTCTGCAGAATGCCATTAACAACACGACCGATGCCGAGGTCGCGCATGAGATGGAAGCCGTCCTCGACGGCCTCAGGGCTGCCGTTCACTCCGGGAAACAACAGTCTGATACGCTCGATAAACTGTATCCTCATGCCAAGGCGATCTCACCCGGCTCGACGACCCGCAACCTTCCTTTGCCGCCCATCGACAAGGTGTTCATGTGCTTGCGTATGGCCAGGGAATGCCCGCAGGTGGCCATGCTATGGTTAGGGGACTTTATTAGGCCCGCCCAGTTCACCGACTACTTTATCAAAATCGCATCGCCTGGTCCAGCTACCGAAGCTGACTTGATCGTCGTTCATTGCGGTCTTTACTGGCTGTTCTGCGAATGCTCCAAAGCCGTCACCGACGAAGAAGCAAAGCAAGACTATGACGCGCAGGCTTTCATATGCGGGGCGAACCTCGAGACTGTCCTTGCCAACCTTCGCTTTCATCAGCCAACAAATATAGACTTTGCATATGCAATGGGCATGGCGGTAAGCTGTTTGCTTGTCTTTGCGAGAACCAATCGAAAGGTCCCGTTCCGACTGACTGTACCTACTAGTCGCTGTATTGCCTTCAGAAGAGCAAGCCGTCTGCCGCGTGGAATTTCATCACTTCGGCCTCGCATATGATACAAGCTCTTGGCTTGCAACATAACGTGCCTATTAGCATAGAGCGACCAGAAGAAAAGGCCCAGAAGATGAACTTGTTCTGGACCATATACATGACTGAGAAGATGCTATCGCTACGCCTAGGTCGTTCATCGACCTTCCGAGATCAGGACATCACCCTGACTCGTCTTGGTATGGAGCGTCCTAGCGGTTCTTTTTTGGCTGAACTGGCCCCCGGTTGGGTCAACATGGCGAGTATACAGGGCCGCATATACGACGACATCTACAGTCCAGGAGCCCTCATGCAACCGCTGCACATCCGGAAGTCTCGTGCCCGGGCTCTTGTAGCCGAGTTGAAAACTACCATGCAGCATACGCAAGACACCCACGTGAGTTTGTCCCGGCTACCTACCCAGGATCATGATATTTTTTCGTCCCAGTCACCCACTCGAGACAACGCTGACGGCTGACTGGTCACAGGACCATTATGAGGCGAGCAAAGGGCAAGTGCTGGGACTGGATTACCATGAAATAGCAAGACGTTCTGACCGAGTCATTGGCCTTTCCATGCTTACGCTCATCTACCGGAGCATCGCCCCAGAGAAGCCATCGATGTCCGCATTTTGTCAAGAATGTATCGATGCTGCTAGAGATACGCTCCAAGAACACGACCGCTGCGTCGCCGTGATTACCAAAGCGCGAGGGAAGACGGTGTTTCTTGAAGCATACATCAACTGGTTCGCTATCGATGGTTCTACCGTTCCGTCCTCGACTAGATCAATCTGACGTGTAAACACAGGACCATCACCCAGTCTCCGTTTATCCCCTTCATTATCGTGTTCTGCCACATCATCGAGACATCCGAGGTCTCAGACCTCGAGCACATGAGAGATTTTGTCGAGACGCTTGAATCTACATCGAACTCCCGCGCACATAGCACATGCACCAAGCAACGTCGCCTCTTCAAGGCGTTGTACGACGTCGCGGCCAAGTACGTCGAGGTCAAGTCCCGTGCGGACGATGGGCAAGAGGGGATGTCGTGGTCGATGGATTGGCAGCAGTATGCCGATACGTTCGCCGGCATGACCTCGAACGGGCTCGGGCTCGGTACATTGGACTCTGAAGGAATTGTGGGAGACCCGGAAATGACGGATACTGCAGATGCTCCTGGTAACATGCCGTCGCATGGCGATGCTAACGGGGACAGGATGGGGCTTGTGGATGGGCTGGTCGGGCCTACGGCACCGCAGAACACGGCATTTGGGGATGTGGACATGGAGATGGATCTTTCAGGAGCTCAACTTTGGGACTGGTTCAACAAGAATCAGTCCATCATGAGGATGCTTGAGGATGCATAGAACAAAGCGGTTTATGAACTCTGATTGCCGTTCCACGCCGTCTTCAATCAAGGAGTAGTTCAATAGGTGGAATGGCTGATTCCTGGTGCAGTGCAACTGTTTGAATGGTCTTATAGATTGGGGGGACTCTTAGAAGTGCACTACGAAGCATCTGATCCAGACAGGCTAGCTGGATAGACGCCCTATTGGAGATGGACTTTTGTCTGCCTAGGCTGTTCTGTGACGGCCTGGTCACGTTGGCTGGGTATCACGTGAGGTGCAGTTGTTTGCTTTATTGCTTTGTGTTAGGGGCTAAGCCCGCAGCGCTAATAACTAGCTATCATACAAGAGGTTTCGTTGAAGGAGAGAAGAACGGATGTTCCATCGGACAGCCTTTTATATACAAAAGTACGTTATGCGGGTAGTAGTCAAGTAACCACTCCGATCATTCCTCCGACTAGCATATCATTTATTCTACAGGCGCTGCCTGTGACACTTTGTTGATAAATACGGCGTTACCTCCTCTCTTCTTTCCTCATGTTGATTATTCTCGTCGATAACTACCTAGGTAGAACTCATGAGTTGGGATGTTCCATTATTCTAGTAGAGCGCCGTGACAGTTCTGTGCTGGTCTATTCAGCCCTGGCCACCATTCCTCTGTTTCACAACACAAGACTGGGAGCACGCAGGCTATTTTTGCCTACTGTAGTCCTTCCAGTTCCATGGCCAAAGATTTCACAAGGAGTCCAACGATATCAAGCAAAGAAAACCTGCCACAAGAGATAAAGATAGATTTGGATCAAAACAGATCAGTGGTGATAGGCGAGATCAAAGTGCCATGTATGAAATGCCACCCCTCTTATAATCTCTGGTTATTCATGCTGTTGAAGCATCCCTTTCACTGTCTCCATATATACAAAGTCAAATGCAAAGACTACCTGTCAGTTGGTAGTCACATAAACAGTACCTCATTAAATCAATTCTGTGCAGAACATAGACGTTGAGGAAGTTTATACACTGAATATTATTTTTATACTTCGGGTTTTAAGTTTGACATTGTTCATAATCTTTACTCTTAAAAACCTTAAATTTACTACTGGTATAGTTATTGGAATCTTCATTTATAACATAATATTTGGTTGCACAAGGATCATCTTGAAATGAATTGAAGTGAATGGAATTTCCTTTTGTTTTTTAACTCATCATCTGGGTTCTACTTTTTTATCTAGCCCCTCAGTTAATATGTGTGAACAGGCACTATCGCAAGACTAGCAGGGATACATCAACTTTAGCTAGGCTTTTATCTGTCCAATCAACAACAGAAACCAACCAACTCACAGATTTAGCCTGGCACTACTATACGTACATAAACTGGTGTAATTCCAGCCAAGCACCAGAATTCACCCCAGTTATTTTAATTTTAATTTTTTTTTTTTTTTTTTTTTTTTTTTTTTTTTTTTTTTGCTCTGTCCATCTTTTTCAGCGTCCAAATGGTGGGCACTACCATTTTCACGGCCATCACGGCCCTACTAGCAACCACAACGGTCGCCCAAACCATAACCCCGGCACCAAGCACAACCATTCTCTCTATCTTCGAAGAAAACAACACCCTCAACGCCCAGGTCTTTAACAACATGGGCGGCAGCATTGTCAACGTCGACGCATCCAGTAACCAAACCACTATCGCCATAAACTGTATCCAGAGTTTACTACAAAATTGTTCTTTTTCATCATACGTTCTGCCTATTACAATAACCAGCGGTCCGTCGACGTTTGCCTGGAGTATGAGTTCAACGACACGGTCAGACTCGGTTTATTCCATTGCCGGGCAGTCGCAGAATTGTGTGGTGACTGGGTCCACGCAAAGTGCGAGTTGTTTAATATATGATGATTATTGGCATTCGAATATATCTACTACGTCGTTGTCAAGTACCTCTGCGACTGTGGAGTTGAGTGCTGCGCAGATCACGTATGATCTTCTCACTGTTACAGCTGGCGTTGAGAAATTAGCACCTGCTTCTACGGCTTCTATGACAAGTACTGCTACTGCAGGTACTGCCAATAACTCGACAGTCTCGGGGCAGCATAGCTCCAAAGCATGGATTGCAGGCCCTGTTATAGGCGCCGTGGTGGGGTGTGCGGTAATCGCAGCAGGGGTTTACTTGTGTCTAATACGACGAAGGAAAGGGAACAGCGAAAACGAAAAATCAAACAATGTACCGAGTTACCCAGATTCGCCGGAATTGGATACGAATCAAAGTCAGACAGAGGAATGGAGAGCTGAACTGCCTTCTCCGGCGCCAGCCTCCCATCCAGCTGAGCTTGAAGCGAGTGAACGACATTTTGTGTATGAATTGGACCATACGCCTTGATTGGTATTGATGATATGATATAGACTAGATCAATAATGATGAAATGATTATGGATTTACTGTATATTCTTGTATCAATTCGGACATATTTATATATTGATTTAATATTCCTACATATTTGCACTGCCATACGCATGCTAAACCATTACATTCAGTTCATACAAGACATGTATCAATCATTCGAACATCATCTTCAATGGTGGAGGCGTGGTCGTAAATGTATCAAGAGCCCGCTTTTCAGAATTTTCGCCAGTCTTATCTGGTGCAAATGTGATATTATATTTGAGTCAGAATCGAAACCGAGATTCGAAGACTAAACAGAGCCAGATTCTTTCCAAGACAGTTATACGGGCCTGCAAAACATATCGAGTCAGTATGAATTCGCTCAATTATGTTGTTTTACCCACCCAGCGAAAAAGACATAAAAGGAGCATCTTCAACTTGTAATTCCTGCTTCCTCTCTCCCCACCGCTTAGGAATAAATTCCCTGGACTGCTTATAGTATCTCTCATCCGTTTGGATTGCTTGAACCGGAACAAATGCACTCATGTCACCGGGAAAATGCACTCCGTCGACTTGGGTCCCTTGTGCGGGTGTGATGCGATATCCGCCTGTCATGACTGCGGTTCGTAAATAGAGTGTTTCGTGGATAATTTCATCGATAAAGGAGATTGTTTTGATCTTGTTGTAGTCCCACTCTGTTGATCCACTAGGCATAGCCTCGTCTAATAGAGATTGGGGATTTGTTGAGACGGCGAAATGTTTTGCCAAGTAGAGCAGCACATTGGCCATTGTAGTTGCGGTGGTTTCACTACCATACTCATTAGTTACTATTTTGTTCAACATCATCTAGACTCTCGCTGCGGTCGCTGCAGAGAGGAGCCTTTTTGGCTCCCCCCTTCGGCCATCATGTTTTCCCCAGTTATAAGTCCCATCCTGCCGACCGTGTCCTTCCCTGCTTCCATCCTTCCTCCCATTAGCATCTCTCATATCGCCTCGCACGCTATCTCTCTTCCGATGATGATACAACCTTCGAGTTTGATGAGGACACGATTTGGAGAGAAATTGATGGAATTTTCTCCAACTCTTATTTGGCAGAGCGTGGATTATCCAGGAAGTTGCAGCGGCAGCAGAAGTGACTGTTTCGTGGGAAATGTAGTATGCCATGGCCAATCTTTTGGGCCGCATACCTGGAGCGAATTACATTAGCTTTCAAACAAGCAGTGCCATCTGATGTAGATGTTTGGGGTTCCAACATCTTTGCTGTGAGGGACGCTCGAGAAAGGTTTAGAAAACAGGATTCCTCAGATCTTGCTCAGATGTTGGCCACTCTTACATATTTAAAGAAGATTAAGCCGCATTATCATGTCTATGCTGCCTTGGGACTTGCTAGACTACCTCCAAACTATCATTTGCTTCAAAACCAGTACAAGCAAAGCATAGAACTCTTTATCAGTGTTGCCTCTTTCATTATAAATAACCGGAATGATCTAGTTAGTGTCTCCTCTGCATAAAATAATCTTACTTACCTTGCTCCATAACGGTAGAAGCAAGCAAGAGATATACACAAATCAAACAGCCTAGCCTAGCCCATACAAAGATATACAAAGTGGGGAACAATCCTGACAGAAGAAAGTCATGTAGTCATCAAGAGGTCATCAAAAGGTCATAAGAGTCATCAGCATCGCACGAAAGGCAGAAGCAATCAAAGGGAGAGAAAGAGGGATTCTGCGTTCCATCAATGGTTGATTAAGAAAAACTCGGGATGAATTTCTTCATTGTCGCCATTTAGGATTCGAGCGCGGGAATAATCCTGGGAAAAAATTATCCGCCATAGTTTGGGCACCGAATCTTTGGACGTTAGTCATGAAAACCCCACTAGAGAAAGTAAAGGTCCTTACAAAGTTTGCGAGGGATTGAGTGCCTACAGTCCAATATCAGCCAATCAGTGAGTAGGCCTTGTCGGATGGACTGGTGATATGTTCCCTGTGGTTCGAATCTTTTGCAATGTTCCAAAAGCCAGTCGCTGTCACGTAGAAGTTCGAATCCCCAGCCAGGGGTGATCATGTGGAAATCAATGCGCCCCTGACCGACGCACGACCTTTCAGAAACAATACCTACACCTGGGCCGACTTCTTCAGCAAAACTTCTGTATAATTCATCCTGATAGGCCGCCTCAACAGGGCGTGGCTTCCCAGAAGGGCCATATCGCTGGCCCCGTTCCGCCATGCAAAGCATCGTCCTCGAGAACCTCTGCAACACTTTCAATGCTAAGGCCTCAATATTGGGATATCTAGTGACCGGGAAGGTTTCATCATAGACAGGCCATATGTATATTCAACAAAACTGCATTTATAAGCCTCGAAGTGGTTCAAAGGATGTGGCTAGGAGACAGCAACTTACCGGGCATGCAGAAAAGAAGGCAAAACACAGATCATATAACCTTCTTCGGGCTCGTCGACATGGATGAAGCCCAGTCTGAAACACTTTTCCAACGCATCATTATTCCTAATGAATTCGAGGCTCCCATGGGTCAAGATGCGCAACAGCACACCGACAATTAGAGGGTCAATACCTTGCAGTCTCGCTTTTGATGGAAGGCTCTTTTCCGCGACATCATAATTAAGGAACTTGAACAACTCGTAGTTGTTTTCTAACGCGTCGCCAACATGCTGGTATGTTATGTGCGAAACGCCATACCGCTTGAGATGATCTCGGTAAAACTATTAGACATAATATTAGCACGGTAATTATACCGGAATTTGAGAACATTGCAAAAATACTAACGCCACATATCGGAGCATCGCTCCGGCAACTCCAGGATGTCCATTTGTCTGTTCGAAAATGTAGCTCGCGACATCTTCACCGATTGTGTGGTCGGTGGTGTCAGCCCATTTTTTTACGGCGTCTTTAGATTCCTCTTGTTTGTAGAATAAACAGAGATCATGCCCAACGTGATCGTGGGGGGCTATTAACGAGATTCTTTGCTCCCTTTTCAGAATCGGTGGGGTGGTTGTTTTCGGATAATCAGGAGAGCCGGTACTTGGACTGCCATATGATGTAAATAGGCAGAACCGCGGGCCTTTGGTGGCGGCGAGGTGCTCTTTGATTACTGAATACCAAAAAAAGGAATCAGAATAAGTTACATGCGCTTCGTCTAAGATGAAAATGAGGTCGTCATTCGCCTCATTCAAAAATTCTGCTCTCTGAATCTTGTGCCCTAGTTGGTAACACTGTCAAACCAGAAAACCAACAGTGTCCATATTGTTTTCCACCCAGTCTTTCCAGTCGGCAACAAAGACAATTTTTGGCTGTTGCTGAGTCAAATCATGTCGTGAATAATGCCGGAAAAGAAGCTTTGCCATTGTGCTCTTACCCGATGCCGGCGTTCCGCGAACATGGATCACGGCATGCTCATCAATTAGATGGGCGAGCGTCTCGATAGACCTCGTTCGCGGGAATATGTTATTGGAGAGCCCCGTATCTGCAAGTTGTATAGCAGGAACAGACGAAGAGGGGCCGGTCAGTTTTGGTTCGAGTGTGGAAAGCTTATGGGCCAAATCAAACGAGTGATCCAAAAGAAGAGAACGGATGAGCACGTGTGCTATAATGAATGAAACACAATGTACCTGGGACATCTTCATGCTCTACCAAGGAATGGTCGCACGTTGAGCACAGCTCGCTCAAGTCAATGGATGTGGATGGATGTAAATGGACGCCTGCTTTGCAAAAGCAGTGAAAACGCCCTTCTTGAATCGTCACGCGGCATGGACCGACATTTTAATCACATTCCTTTGATCATCTTCCTTCGCTGTGTTTGACGCGCCTAAAAGCCACCTTAGCCAGGTAGCCATGATGTATGAGTTTCCGGGTAGAAAAGCGTCATATAATCGCAGAATAGAACGAGACAGGAACGTCCTAGTGGAAGGCCATTGCGGAAAGAGTGACATGTGAGAGTGATGTCACGTTAGTACCTTTTTGGTGTGTAATGGATGGTTGATTGGTTGGTGGCCAATCGGGAATACGATGGTGGTTGTGTGTTCCTGGATGGGATGAGATGGAAAGAATGGGTTGGGGATGCCAAATTCTGAGAGCTTTGGTTCTGGAACGTGGAGTGTTGTGAATAGTGACAGATAACAGTCTACTATTTGTATTTACTGGAAGCCCATGGCATAATAGTACAGAGTACGGGGCCTGTGATATCTTCGGCGAGGGCTAAACTAACTATATAACTACCTGGCAGAAAGCGAGGGCGGTAAGTCACGTGACCCGTTGGATACTGTCGGAATATAGAGGTTCCTTACCGAACAATACCAACTGATGCCTGATTGATGCCTTGCTGATATCATATGGCGCAAAGCAGCGTATTTACTCTGCTATTACTGCTTTTGAAACCGCACAATCGCTTAGTATACTCTATAAGGTATTTACGGTCGTATATAGGATCCTAGATAGCACACTTTTGCAAGAATCAGAGACCTCAACCATATACGCTTGATACGTACTTTCAACCCTGACTAAGCCACATTTCCGACAGATACTGTCGGAAATGTGTATAATCGAGCCTCCTCTTGCCCACGCTTCTGCCCTTCCTCTCCAGTAAGGATGCCACCATTCTGAAGGTAAATTCTGCCTCGCTTTCGCCTGTAGCGATTCTTGGTGGTTTGTGTATTGGAAAGTTCCTGCTTCAAAAGTGCCTCTGACATGGCTATATTGCAACTTTTAACCACCTGTCACGAGCTCGGAATAGTAGATAATAACGAACTGAATTCCTATCTAGACTATTGTAGCCATCGACGAGAATATCGAATCTGGAGAAGAAAAGAGAAGAGGAAATCTATCTAGGTAATGAAGGGGTTTTATAGAGGTTGTTGCCGACATGGCTGAGTAGCAGCATTTGCGATGTATAATTCATTGCTGCAGTGTTGAGCCGTCATATATGAGTCGTCATATATAGTCACTATTAATGCTGCTGGTACTGTTCTACCACCCCAGATTATCTTTGCTGGAAAGATGCACCAAGCACCATGGTATGAAGCTATTCCCAATGACTATCGGATTAGTATGTGTGAGAATGGTTGGACGAACCATGATCTTGGCTTTGAATGGCTTCAAGAAGTCTTTGAAAAGCATAATGCCTCACAGACTGCTGGTCAATACCATCTCCTAATTCTTGATGGCTATTCAAGCCATGCAACTCTTGAATTTGACCAGTTCTGTACATCAAAGAAAATCATTCCTTTATATATGCCTCCACATTCCTCAGATAAGCTTCAACCACTTGATGTGAGCTGTTTTGGGCCATTAAAGCAGTACTATGGCCAGCAGATCCGTGAAGTTATTCAAAATGGATATGAAACAATTGATAAAAGAGACTTCTTATGGCACTATGAGCACATACACAAGCGAGCTTTTTCTGAAGCAAATATCCTCAGTGGCTTTAGATCAACAGGTCTGATTCCTTTGCAGCCAGAAAGGGTCCTTTCAAAGCTTCGAATTCAGCTAAAAACACCAACACCTCTATCTTCTTTGCACTCCGATTCTTCCTCTCATTATCTTGGTCAAACGCCAGCAAATCTATACCAGCTGGATCACCAGAAGAAGGAATTCCAAGCACTTCAAGATCAAGGATTATCATCATTTGTTGCAGAGGGAATGCTTGAAAAGGCTATAAAAGGTGCAGAGGTTGCAATGCAAAATGCTGTTCTGCTTCAACAAGAAATCTGCCAGCTTCGTACAGCAGATAAGCGTAAAAGGGATAAGAAGAAGACCCCACGACGCTTTATCCAAGAAGGAGGCAGTTTGACTGGTCAAGAAGGTCAAGATAAAACTCAAGAAAGAGAGAGAACAACAGCAAATCATGCAGCTGTTTCAACTTCAACCTCTACACGCCGGCCACCACGCTGCAGCAATTGCAATAAAGAAGGCCATAATCGGTTGAGATGTCCAGAAAAATTGACCACCTAGAATAATATAATGTACTGCATTTGTATGGCATTAAAAAGCTTCAATTTGTTGACTTAATCGAATACGCGAGCGCGTTTTGGTAATGGTGGCGGACCGCCGCCAGCTCGCTGTCCGATTACGTTATATACATATAATTACATAAAGAACGGACTTCTCAAATATGAGCCTCATATATAAACTGGTCGAGATATCACTGGTTAAAAAGGTGTCAGTTTGTATGGGAATGAAGAATTCGCCGCTCGTGCGTTGAACACGTTACTCTGGGAATTCAACCTCATTAGAAGGGAAAAAGAACAGCAAAAAGGTGTAGACACGCAGTGACGCCTTCTAATAATAATCATTACTTTAAACGTCAGGAATTATTAGACCATTTGGATTTTGCCTGTCATCACTCTATGAAATCCAAGCACAAGGGTAAAGCTGGCCAAGTATATTCGTGTTCCTAAATTGGATCGAAATCGTCATTCTGGGCGGGTAGAGCCATTTCAGTGGCATTTCACTGCAGTACTGAGCCAGTCTCGATGTAGTATAGCAAGCGAATCCCACTTAATGGCCCCAAAATTGTGAGCGATATAATCGAAGCCGTGCTAAATTGGAAATAGCCTTGCCGTATTCATCGTGTTGCAAATCAGGGTCGAGCGCATTGCCGCTGCATCTAGTGTTAGCTGCATAACTTCATTTAGCTGTTCATAAAATTAACCACCACTCATAAAGCCGCTAGTTGCGGCGTGGCTTGGTAGCCCGAAGGATCCGAACGTCCGAAGCCACCCAGTTCCTGACTCAGTTGGCCATAGAGTGGACGTGCGCGGAATTAGAGCATATGGGATACAGACATGGGGTTGACAATTAATAATCAGCCTTAGGAAGAAAAATGCGTGGTGGACAAGGAGCAGTTGTACTCGATTGCTGTATTGGGCATGACAGAGTAAATACGGCAGAATAATGCAGTGGACATGGTTTCTGCCATCACCGCGTGAGTCTACTCTATAATACAACTCACAACGGGGCCAAATGATGCAGATTCCTCAGAGAATGCAAGCTCTCCACGTGTGTCGACAATGCACCTTGAGAGGACTTGAAACATGAGGGAAACTGCCTTATCCAGGCCAAAATAGGCGCGGACTGTTTCAACTGTCATTTCTGCAGCATAGCCTCAGCAGGGTCCTGCCACCCCCAAATGGCCAGAGACTATTCAGATCGCACGCCTGAATTTCAAACAGTGCGGCTCTTGGCAGTGTGGCTTCTCCAACTTTGAATGCATCCCAGAGGATTGAAATGGCCCCCAGGTTGGTTCCCACTCCATTACCATTTTCCAATAACATGCCCATACTTATTGACTCTTCATTAGAGTAAAATAAGCTCGCCCAATACTTGAGACCTTGGCAGATCCTGGTGTTCATCCTGCGCGCAGGCATTGTCACAATCCCTGAACCCCAAAGGTCAACCTTTGCTATACAGCATCCCGATGAAGATGTGCGCCTGGTCAGCCTGGGGGCCATGTGTCATATTTGTATACAACTTCACAGCAATGTATGAGAGGGAATGGTCTATAAAGGAGTGCTCAAATCTGTTCCAGAATCAAGTTCATCATTAACAACAATCACAACAATCACAACAATCTTCACTACAAAGCTTCCAATCCCAAAGCCTTCCTGCTTTCTACAACTCTTTGTCTTACACCATTTTCAGCTTTCAACCAATCATCATTCAAAATGTATATTGATACTTCCAAGCTTGCTACTGTGGCCCTTGCCACCATCCTCTCTGCCAATTCTGTCATTGGTGTGCCAATCGCTGGACGCTCTCCCAACTTGTTGACTCGTGACCCCCGCGGCGGCCACCACTCTAGCTCTGGCGGCTCTACCAGTGAAAAGGTTTCGACTTGGACTGGTGCTTTGTCGGACATCACTGGCATAGGATCCGATGCTGCAACTATTGCTGAGGCTGCCAATAACCAAAAGCGCGCTCCCAAGGGCCACAGCTCTAGCCATAGCGGTTCCTTTTCGGGCGACAAAGCCATGAACGCACTTGATGTCGCTAGCAACCTGATTGGTATTGCTGCTGATGGCACTACTATCGCCGAAGCCGTCAACCAAAAGCGCACCCCCAAGGGCCACGGCTCTAGCCATGGTGGTTCCTCCTCCGGCGACAAGGCCTTGAACGGTCTCGATGCTGCCGGCAACATGATCGGCATTGGTGCTGATATTACCACTATCGTGGATGCTGCCAATAACCAGAAGCGCTCCCCCAAGGGCCA